ATAGATATTTCTGTGCCAAAGATTGCCTGACCTATTGCTTCAACAAACAATAAAATAAGTAATAGTAGTAGTAATAATAAAAATAACACAATATATAATAATATAATAATAATGAAAAAATATTAAAGTATTTTTTTAAAAAGTTATAGTGTCCTACCAGTGAGAACAATGTATGCACAAGAGCCTGTACTGTTGAAGGAAGAAGTTCAAGGTGTTCTAAAGGGAATTGGCAAAAAACAAAGCCCCAGGAATTGGCAGCATAGCTATTGATATATTTCAACAAACAGATACTGCCCTGAATGCGCTCACCAAATTGTGTCAAAAAATCTGGAGGACAATGACCTGGCCAACTGACTGGAAGAAATCCATATTTGTTCCCATTCCAAAGAAAGGTTACCTGACAGAGTGTGGAAATTATTGAACAATATTATTAATATAACATGCAAGCAAGATTCTGCTGAAAATTATTCTAAAACTACAGGAACAGCACATCAGCAGAGAACTGCCAGATGTGTAGACTGGGTTTAGAAGAGGTTGTGGCACTAGGGATATTATAGCTAAAAGTATATGAATCTTGACTGAAAGCAGAGAGTACCAGAGGAATATCTATTTGTGTTTCATTGGCCATGCAAAGGCATTTGACTGTATGGACCACAACAAACTGTGGTTAACTTAGAGAAAAATGGGAACCCCAGACCACTTGATTGTACTTATGCAAAACCTTTACTTGCACCAGGAGACAGTCATCAGAACAGAGCAAGGAAACACTCCATGATTTAAAGTCAGGAAAGGTGTACACCAGGAATGTGTCCTATCTCCATTCCTTTTCAATCTATATACAGAGCAGATCATTCAGGAGGCTGGGCTCTGTGAGGAGGAATGTGGCATTAGGATGGAGGAAGACTCATCAACAACCTGCGTTATACAGATGATACAGCCTTGCTTGCTGAAGCTGAGGAGGACTGGAAACATTTGCTAAAGAAGGTCAAGGACTGCAGCCTTCAAAATGGATTGAAGCTCAACATCAACAAAACAAAGATTTTCACCACTGGTCAATGGGCAGCATCCTGATAGATGCTGATAAGATTGAGATTGTTAATAACTTTAGTTTGTTTATCTCCAAAAGTAACACTCTTGATACCAGCAGCCAGGAAATCAAAAGATGGGAAAGTCGGCTGTGAGGGACATTTTCAGAGTCCTGAAGAGCAATGATGTCAGTCTGGAGACTAAGGTGTGCTTGATCCAGGCCATAGTTTTTGCACTTACATGCTTTGTGTCAGAAAGCTAGGCAATGACTAGGGTTGATAGAAGGAGAATTGATGCTTTTCAATGTACATGAACTGCTGAGAGACCAAACAGGTTCATCTTGGAGAGGGTGAGACCAGGCTGCTCCTTGGAGGCAAGGATTCTAAAGCTCCGTCTCATATACTTTGGGCATATTTCAAGGAAGGGACCAGTCCTTGGAAAGAGACATTATGTTTGGGAGGGTGGAGGGACAGCACAAGAGAGGAAGACCCTGGATGAGACAAATTGATTCAGTGCCTGAATTAATGGAGGTGGGTGTGTCAGAGACTGTAAGGTTGGCTCAGAGCAGGTTTCAGAGCTGTTGTATATAGGGTCGCTGTGAGTCACAGGTGACTTGACAGCACATAACATCAACTACCAGCTAGAAAAAGGTGGCCTAGTGGCAAGAAGCTGCACTGCTTTCCTACGGCAAGCACTTAGAATCCAACAGCTGCTCTGTGGGAGAAGGATGGTTAGACAATTAACTGCTTCAGAAAACCTTTCAGAGGCGCCAGCTATGGGTTGGTTCTGATTTGATGGCACACAACAACCACAACACAACTAACCAGAATAAGATCTGGTTGAGTGAGCTTGTTGTTTCTAGTAGGGCATTGAGGAAATTTTACTTTTGCATGGCTAGAATTGCATTATTGAGTTTTGAGGGTTATGTTCAATTTATGGTTATTATGAGTGGTTGCTTGCCTGACAAATTATTGGTGGTGATTTCCCACCATTGCCTCTCACTGACACCACCTCATGCCATGCAACACACACACACACAAGCACACTTTCGTCCTTTTCTATGCCTCTAAGCTTTTCCCTGAGTACTCTCTACCCCTGCCACATGTCCACAGTCTTCCCAGGCTCCTTGGTAAAGGTGAAATGAAGGAAATCAAAACCCAGTGTGTCCTCATGGCTGAGGTGGCCTATGGCCTCAACCTACTGTTCATTCTACAGCCAGTCTGATATGATCTTCTTGTAGGTCATATCCTAATCATATTTTTATACTTTCATAGCAAGACTGGGAATCAACTCTTACTCTTAAGTGTAATCAGCTAGAGTCAGAAACTATACTGTTCCTTTAAAAAGAAAAACCAACAACTTAATATTATGGAGAATTTGAAATCTCAAAGAAGAGAGACAAGTAAATGAAATTCCCTGTATATTTAGCCCAGTTCTAAACTGCCTAACCCATACTGAGTTTTCCCTGCTCTTGACCCTATTTGGCAGGAAGTATTGAGTTTCTGAACATGGGTGTGGTGGTGAGAATTTGAAGGATGGGACGTGTCCCAGGGTCAAGGTGATGGGCTGCAGAGGGAGAATCCTCATGACTCTGGGGTGCAAAGTGAAGGGATTTCAAGGCTAAGCTACTAGGTCTGTAGAAATCAAGATGGCACCAATGGCAGGTCCAGCCTGAGATCTGCATGGGTTCATGCTCATTGTCTACTCTGGGGAGGGTGTATGAACCGAGGCTGGGACAACAGTTAAAATATGAAATGAAGCTATAATTTGTCATCAAGAATAATAAGAATAACTGCTGTACTTTGTGGCTCATGTTATAACTGATACATACTCAAAGCTTCACATGAGAGAACTTTATTGACAATTCGAAAAGGTATCTCAATCCGATTTTACCACCACGGAAGGTTAATGTTTCATAGGTGGTGGTGGTTGTTATGTGCCATCAAGTCGCTTGCAACTTATAGTGACCCTGTGTACAACAGCCCTAAACTCTGCTCTGTCCTGTGCCAGTTGCACTCTCTCCGATACACCCAACCCGATTACCCCAGTCACTCAATCAATCCACCTCATAGAGGGCCTTCCCGTCCTGTGCTGTGCCTCCACCCTCCCAAGCATGATGGCCCTCTTCAAGGACTGGTCCCTCCTTACAACATGTCCAAAGTATGTCAGACGAAGCTTCAGAATCCTTGCCTCCAAGGAGCAGCCTGGTTTAACACTCTCCAGGATGAACCTGTTTTCTTAGCAGTCCATGGTACATTCAGTACTCTTCTCCAGCACCTTAGCTCAAAGGCATCAATTCTCCTTCTGTCCTCCTTAGTCATTGTCCAACTCTCTGACGCATAGCAAGTGATTGCAAAGACCATGGCCTGTATCAGACACACTTTAGTCTCCAAAGAGACACCATTGCTCTTCAGTACTTTGGAGAGGTCCCTAACAGCAGACTTACCCATCGCAGTATGTCTTTTAATTTCCTGGCTGCTGGTGCCAAGAGTGTTGACTCTGGAGCCCAACAAACTATAGCTGTGAACAATCTCAATCTCTTCACCATCATGTTGCTGCCAGTTGGCCCAGTGGTGAGAATCTTTGTCTTCTTGACATTGAGCCTCAATCCATATTGAAGGCTGCAATCCTTGACCCTCTGCAGCAAACACTTCTGGTCCTGTTCAGTTTCAGCAAGCAGGGTTGTGCATCTGCATATACTGGAACAGCACATCCGCAGAGAACTGCCGTGAGTCCAGGCTGGGTATAGAAGGGGTCGTGGTACTAGGGATATTGTAGCTAATGTTAGATGGATCTTAGCTGAAAGCAGGGAATACCAGAGGCATATCTGTGTTTCATTGATTATGCAAAGACTGTGTGGATCATAACAAACAGTGGCTGACTCTGAGAAGAATGGGAATCCTAGAACACTTGATTGTGCTAGTGCAAAATTGGACTAAGAGGCAGACGTCAGAACAGAACAAGGAAACACTGCATGGTTCAAAATTGGGAAGGGCGTATGCTAGGGATGGGTCCTGTCTCCATATCTTTTCAACCTGTATGCAGAACAGAGTATCTGGAAGGCTGGGCTCTATGAGGAGGAATGTGGCGCCAGGATTGGTGGAAGGAAGATCTATCTTCGTAGGTTGTAGTAAGTCTCAAATCATACTAGGTCACTTTTGCTTCCAGAACTTCAAATAACATTTCTTTTTTTTTATTCTTTTTTTATTAGCTTGCTTACAAAACTTGTATAGATTATGTATTACAATATTATTCATTCCCATTGTGTTTTTTTTTTTTAATTTAGGTTGTTTATTTTTCATTTCAATGAACATCTACAGAGATTTTGGAATTCCATTCATTCATTGTTGCACCCTTCTCCTTGCACAAACCCCTTCCCCCCTCCCCCCCTTTTGCTCCTTTTCTTGAAAAGCAAAAGAAAAACTGCCTCATTGGTACACAATCCCCCCCTGCACTTCCCCAAACCCAATCCCCTACCCCCAAATATAATCCACTCTGCAACCCTCATTGCATACTCCTACGATAAAAATAATGCCCTAAAATATAATACTTCTTTAAACCAAACAAGGGGAAGAATCTGGTGAAGGAAGAACCTAGGGATCTACAATTAACAAGAATCCCAGTGAGGAGAGGCTGTTAGTATGACACCCTCATCCCCCTACAAACATGTGAGCACAGGGCTCATAGTGGGCTGGGCCCTGAGAACACTGCTCTGCTGGCTGCTTTTGTTGCTGAATGAGCCCCACATTTCAGTATCAATCTTAATGGATCAGTGGTAGAGAGTGAGGGCTGTGGAGCAGGCAAAGATGAACCCACCTTAGTGGTGGGTTGTATGATTAGGAAGGTTTTAGAGGATCTTCACAAGATTTTTTGTTTTGTATTTAAAAGGGTTTTTGTTGGAAAGGGATATTATACTTGAAAAGTTGGAGAGTCAGCAAAGGAGAGGAAGACCTTCAACTCTATGGATTGACGGAATGACTGCGGTAATGGGCTCAACTGTGTCATAGATGATGAGATCAGCGCAGGATAGGATCTATTGTTCATAGTGTCACTGTGAGTCATCCTGGATGCCACAGCACCTAACAGCAACAACTACTCTCATTTTGTGCTCACTGAGGTTTACTGTCAACAACTACTGGTTTGTAGTAACACAAAGGAATGTGTAAAAAGTGTGTGTGTATTTTACAGAGACAAGATTCTGCAGAAAAAGAAAAAAAATATGACTGTTACTTATTTTGTGGTGTTAATGTTATGTGCTGTTGAGTCGCTTTCAACTCATAGTCACTCTATGTGCAACAGCTCTGAACTCTGCTCTGTCCTCAGCCAATCTTATTATGTCTGACACACCTACTCCCTTTGTCCCGGTTACTGTATCAAAAGTATGTCAGATGGAGCTTCAGAATCCTTGCTTCCAAGGAGCAGCCTGCCTTCACTCTCTCCAGGATGAACCTCTTTGTTCTCTTAGCAGTCTATTAAATACTCCTTTTCAGCACCAAACTTAAGGGCATCACTTCTTCTGTTATCCAGCCCTTGTTCGGCTTTCTGAAGTGAAGGTTTATAAAGAAAATTAAATTTTCATTCAACCATTCACACATACTTTGTTCAAGAATATTCATTTCGATACCTCCAGTGTAGCTGTGCTTGCAGATGTGTGACTGCAGGCAAGCAGTGGACTGTGCTCACTCATACTGTTTCAGAGTTCTTTGAAAAGGCAGTCACTCACTAAAACCAGCATGTGTTGGAGTGCATGCTGTGCATTTGCCATTGACTAGGGAAAGTTCTTTTTGTCCCCACTGGCAAAACTTTCCGGAGAACTGACCTTGACTTACTCTTATGTGAATTTGGGGGGGGGGCAATTAAGACTTTTGCTACCAGAGAGCAGTATTGGTAGCGTCAACCCTGGTGTCCTTCCATGCCTGCTTACTGGATCCCTTGGGACCCAAGGTCCCTCTTACACAGTTCCTTCAGTATTCTTGATCCTTTTCAGCACCCCATTAATTACCAGTCCCTGGGTTTTCAGAGGCACTAAATCACATGGAAGGAGATTGCCCATCTTTTTCCTACAGAGAAGCTGGTGCATTTGAACTGCATGCCTTTGGTGTAGCACTGCAACTCTTTACCCACTAGGCCACCAGAGTTCCCTCTTGTTCACCACAGTTAGCACAAAACAAAGACTCGGAAATAATTAAATCCAACCATTGCCATTTTTGCCTGCAGCCTGGAATTGTGTCGCCATTTAAACGCGTATTCCTAAAAGGTGAAAAAAGTAGAGATAAGAAAGCCCACGAGAAGGTGACAGAGAGGCGCCCTCTTCATACAGTGGTGCTGTCATTGCCTGACCGAGTCGAACCAGACATACTGCTGAACGACTATATTGAGAAGGAAGTAAAGGTAAGTTGTAATGGACAGCAAGAAGTGACTGCCAGCCTGAAAAAAAGAGAAAAGGTAATGCCTTTTTCCACCACATATTTTGAAGCATATAAAATACTTTCGGATAAGGACCTTTGTTGGACACTTGTCACTTTGCCTGTGGCAATGAATCTCATAACTGAAAAATGAAACACAGACACATTTATTTCTATTCCTTTACAATAGCCTACTATCTTTCTCTTTAAGGTTTGACCATATGCTTAGGCACCCAGAGGGAAAACTGGAAGAAGCACTCACGGCCACTTTTGCTTTACTAAACATAAAAGTTACTTGATCAGGGTCACTGTGCCATTTATTTGTCACAACTCAGAACCCAGGTTTCATAAATTTCATGGTTCTGTCATTGTATTAGAAGCCTGTGCCTGTAGGCTCATAGTTACACATGGCATGGAAAATGCATGTATTTATTCTTAATCCTTTTCCAAACACACAAAAATAAAAGTTAATGGATGTTTTTAAATTATAAGTTAAATTTATAAATTTAGAGAGCAGAGGCAAGAAGAGAATAGTGCATGAATAATATCCATAAACTTGGAAGAAAGCAAAAGTGAAGAAAGGAAAGTGAGGCCATTGATGGTGCTCAAGAGCTTACCTCTTGAGGGGTGAGCCTCTGCAGAGAAAACTGCTTTGGCTAGGGGCCGGGAGGCAGGTATGGAACTTTGTGTGTGGTGTTCCCACTGTCACTTGGCACAAGGTTAGAAGATTAACCTTTCCCTTCTCCATGAAGAGGACGTTTTCTCTCTAGAGTAACTGAACTCTTAAAAAATTTGGAAAAGGGGGACACTAGGTATAGAGGAAAGTGAAGTAAAGACCTAGATTGAAAATAAGGTTGTTAAATCAAAACTTGTATACAGGACAGTGAAAATCCCTGATCTCTTTTCTTTGCCAAGTTTTAAGAAGGCCTACCAGCAACCCTTTAAACAAGAGGATACTTGGAAAGAACCTTTAATGGAGAAGCTGAAGAGTCCATGGGAGTACTGCTTACATATGCAAACGTGGGACATTAACCCATAATCTGCCAGAATAAAAAACACTTGAGAACTCCTGTCCAAGCCCACAGAGCTCTTTAGGTAGCCAAGGAGGAGTACACATTTGAGAAATAATTTTAACCTCAAAGAGCTGAAGACAAACACAGATGAAATAACAGCAATGAAAAACAAAAAAAGACTACAAAATACAATGTTTTCAAGGACGTAAGAGAAAATATTGTAGTTAGGAACTAACAGGATTCTACTTTAAAAGACAACAAAGAGTCTTTGTTATTAAGATATTTTTCTTTTAAAAGTAATAGAAGTTGAAAAAATAAAGTCAGGTAAATCTCAAAAGGATAACTATAAGTTTTTGTTTTTTAAAATATTTTTCTTTTAAAAGTCAGAGAAGTTGAAAAAATCTTGAAAGGATAACTATAAGTTTTTGTTATTAAAATATTTTTCTTTTAAAAATCAGAGAAGTTAAAAAAATGCAGTCAGGAAAATCTCGAAAGGATGACTAAGGAGACAGAAAGCTAGTAAACTGAAGAGAATAAAGACTGTTGGAAGAACCCTTAAAATGGATCAATCCAGAAGATCTTTCTCATTAGAAGAAAAAGCAGAGGAAGAGAGAAGTAATTGGCTAAAATTGTAATACAAGAACATTCCTGGAAATAATTAAAGGGCACTTCTATTCAGACTCAGGGGATCTCCATCTGCAGCTGTATCTTGGAGATACTACAGACTCAAAGCCAGACCCTGCAGTAAAACAAAAATTGCAATAAAGTCAATAACTTTTTTTACCCAGGGCATATAAAAATTATGCAAATTAAGTGTGAAAAAATTTGGAATATGGTGAGAATTAACAAAATAGGACAGAGATAGTACATAAGCACATACTGTTGAAAAAATGATTGCCAATAGACTTGCTCAATATGGGGTTGCTACAGACCTTCATTTTCTTTTTTTTTTTTTTTAAATGCAGTATCTGTGAAACACAATGAATTGAAGCCTGTCTGTAATAGACAAGATGTCACTAAATGTGTATATCTGACATTGAATGTATCTTCTGAGGAGTTACTGAAAAATAGACTTAATCAAACACAGTAGTTAAGCAAAAAGGAAAAAAACATCAAATTCAGAATCTGGGGGATTTAACACCAAGAAAGGCAAAGATCATTCCTTTAATCTTTAAAAAAGATAATTGTTGCTGTTGTTGTTACAGTTTGGTGCTGTGGAATCAGAAACAACTCCTAGCTGACCCTTCAGCAGGTTTTCAGTCAGTAAATTGCATTGGAAGAGATTGCCCATATTACTCCTAAGCTGTTCCTTAGGAGAAATGTACTTTTGGTTTGACAGCACAATTCCTTAGCACTAAACCACCAGTTGTGTTGTGCACTGTGAAGTCACAACCAACTCACAGCTGGACCTTCAGTGGGTTTTTGAAGGCAATAAACTGCATGAGAGGTGATTATCCATCTTTCTTCCATGGAGTAGCTAGTAGATTCAAATTACATGCTTTTGAGAGGGCAGAGCACCACTCCTTCTTACTTTTTAAAGTGATCTTTTTTAAAAAAGGCAAAGTTCCAGATCAAGAATCTGAGAGGAATGGGTCTAAAAAGGAACCACTCTAAGTAGAGTCTGGGAGAAGGAAATATATTTTGTTGGGGGAAAAATAGTGAATACGTAACAATTGGTCTCTTCACTTGGAACAGTAGAGGAAGAAGGAAATTAGAAATAGGAAGAAGAGATGGAATAAATGGCCAGTTGCTTCCCTGAGCAACTACTTCCTTTGCCAGGAGACTAGGACTGGGTGGTGCCTTGCTACTACTACTGAACATCTTGCTCAAGGATTCTTCTATAGAATTTTAGAACAGAATTTCCAAAATTTGTGGAATCTAGAAGTTATGGAGACATTGTTGTTAAGTGCTGTTAAGTCAAGTATGTTTCATAGAAACCCAGTGAACAATTCTGTGAGCCCTGCCCTATCCTGTGTCATCCTCACCATTCTGACATATTTGAGCCCGTCATTATAGTCCCTCTGTCAATCCATCTTGTTGTGGGTCTTCCCTTCTTTTGATGACCCTCCACTTTTCTGAGCAAAAATATCCTTTTCCAAGGACTAGCCCTTCCCAATAAGCCCAAAGTAGGTGAGATGAAGTTTCACTTTTGTAACCTCCAAGGTTTCATCTTTTGCAAGACTGGCTTGTTTTTTCTTTTGGCAGTCTTGGATATTTAGCACTCTTTTCCAGCACCACAACTAAAAGGCATAGATGATTCTTCTGTCATCCTTATTCATTGTCCAACTTTTAGCTGCATAGTAAGTAATTAAAAAAAAATAGGGATCAGATGCACTGTCTTCAAACTGACATCGTTGTTCCATAACTTCTTAGAGAGGCCCCTGACAACAAACTTTCCCAGTACAGTACATTTTTTTAAATTTCTGGTTGCTGGTGCCCAGGGTGTTTATTGTGAATCTAAGCAAGATGAAATAATTGACAGTTTCTACCTCTTGTCCCTCTATCATGTTGCCTACTGACATGGTGGTAAAGATTTTTTTTCTTGATGTTGACATGTAACCCACATTGAAGGGTGCAGCAAGTGTTTTTAGTCCTTTTTATTCTCAGCAAACAAGATTGCATCACCTGTACAATATAAGTTGTTGGTGACTCTTCTTCCATTTTTGGTGCCACATTCTTCTTCATATAGTCTAACCTCTTGAATTATTCTGCATACAAATTGAACGAGTATGCAGAAAGGATATAGCCCTGATGTACACCTTTATTTTAAGCCATATCACATGCAAGCAGGTTCTGCTGAAAAGTATCCAAAAACGTTTGGAACAATATGTCAGCAGAGAACTGCCAGATGTGCAGGCTGAATTTAGAAGAGGTCATAGTACTAGGGATATTATAGCTAATGTTAGATAGATCTTGGCAGAAAGCAGAGAATACCAGAGGAATGTCTATCTGTGCTTCATTCACTATGCTAAGGCTTTTGGACTGTGTGGATCACAACAAGCTATGGCTGACTCTGAGAAGAATGGGAATCCCAGAACATTTGATTGTGCTAATGCGAAACCTATACTTGGACCATGAGGCAGTCATCAGAACAGAGCAGGGAGACACTGGATGGTTCAAAATCAAGAAAGGGGTCCATCAGGAATATATTCTGTCTCCATACCTTTTCAATCTGTATGCAGAACAGATCATCCAAGATGCTGGGCTGTATGAGGAGGAATGTGGCATCAGGATTGGTGGAAGAATCATCAACAACCTGTGTTATGCAGGTGACACAACGCTGCTTGCTGAAACTGAGGAGGACCTGAAGCTCTTGCTGCAGAGGATCAGGGACTACAGCCTTCAACATGGATTGAAGCTCAACATCAAGAAAACAAAGATTCTCACCACTGGGCCAACTGGCAGCATCAGTATGGATGGTGAAGAGATTGAGATAGTTAACAGTTTTCGTTTACTTGGTTCTACAGTCAACACTCTTATTAACAGCAGCCAGGAAATCAGGAGATTAATTGCATTGGGAAAGTCAGCTGTGAGGGACCTCTCAAGAGTATTGAAGAGCAATGATGTCAGGCTGGAGACTAAGGTGCACCTGATCCGGGCTATAGTCTTTGCAATTACGTGCCATGCATCAGAGAGTTGGACAGTTAATAAGGGATGATAGAGAATTGATGTCTTTGAGCTGTGGTGCTGGGGAAGAGTGTTGAATATACCATGGATTGCTAGGAGAACAAACAAGCTTGGCCTGGAGAGGATGAAGCCAGGATGCTCCTTGGAGTCAAGGATTCTGAAGTTTCATCTGACATACTTTGAACATGTTGCAAGGAGGGACTGGTCCTTGGAGAGGGACATCATGTTTGGGAGAGTGGAGGGACGGCGCAGGAGAAGAAGACTCTTGATGAAATTGATCAATTCGGTGAGTATAGTGGTGGGAATGAGTGTGTTTGAGACGGAGAGGCTGGCACAGGATAGAATG